AGGATATACCTAGCGCCCACACAGAGAACATCAAAGCAGGCACCTGCAGTTCCTGCTGCAGCACTGACACAGGCCCCGGGCATCAGAGCTCCTTGGCTGACGGCCTCGGTCAGACAACCTGAGCAAATTTCCTAGTCTGTGACATGTCAGGGTATGAGTATGGCCCACGGGAATTGGGCCTGCAGGTCCGAAGGCTGTCTCAGGACCAGGAGGATGAGCCCACACGTACAGCCTGAGTCTGTCCCTGTCCGCTTCCCTGGCAGCACAGGTGGCGTCCGGATAATACACTCTCAAGTTACCACACACCCAGCCAACTCCAGCAGCCCATGGAGTTCTCCCCACAGTTCATGGCAGGCACAGCACGGTTACCCACTCCTTTCCACCCCAGCAGAGCATCTGAGTCAGTTCCCAGAATGCACGGCGTGGCCGGGGCCACCTGGAGCCACGTGCTCTGCTGAGGTCAGGCAAATCTTGCCAGCGAAAGCTGAAGGTGGAAACAGCCCATCACATGGGTGAGACAAGAAGGTGAGCGGAAGACAGAAGAGCTGAGCTCAGGCAGAGGTGGTGACTGGCAGCGGATCCTGGCCGGGGATAGTGACATCTGTGCTCAGATCCTGAGAAGACCAGGAAGAACCCTGAAGAGGCCTGTCCGGTACCTTGGTGGGGACAGCAACAAGACCCTCCAGAGCTACACTGCATATGGTAGGACACTGCCACAGGTGTTTCTGGCAGTATTCTAAGACACTAGGAAACTTCCTCTCTTCTTCTTCTCGTTGCACTCCCATTTTACATGGTATCTGTGCACAGGCAAAGCTAATTTGCCCAAGGGCTCTTCCAAAAATCACATGTTCTAAAGAATTCTCCCAGTCTCTGCAGGTGACAGGGAAACAGAAGAGAGATGGGAAGGGGCCTAGTGGCAGAGCCTAGAGATCAGTGTCAATGCCCATAGCTCCTCTGGGTCACCAAGTGTGCTCCAGGAATACCCTGGTACCTTCAGCCTGGGACAGGACCTGGGAAGGCAGTCCTCCATTCACACCACTCCATTACACTTCCTCAGCTGCCTAACTCCAGCTGCCCAAGCCAGAGCAATTCCTAACACAGTGTAGACTGGTTTGAACCTGCTAGTCTCATTAGTCACTCTGGACAGACGCAGGACGGCGGCTCTCTGTGTAGACCAGGAGCCAATATCATGTGGCCTATCACCATGCCAGGAACAACCAAGAACCTCCTGAAAGCCCTGGGACCCCCTTCTATGGCCTTGTCTTGCTAGACTCTCACTCAATCCTAGGAAGGGAAGAGCTCTTCCACGAAGAAGAACCAAGAAGCCAAGCCAAGACAAAGGGTTGTGAGCAGATTCTGATGCTGGATCAGAGGTAGATACTGGAGCTAGAGCCGGGCGGTGGTGGCGCACGCCTTTAGTCCCAGCACTCGGGAGGCAGAGGCAGGCGGATCTCTGTCAGTTCGAGGCCAGCCTGGTCTCCAAAGCGAGTTCCAGGAACAGTGCAAAACTGCACAGAAAAACCCTGTCTCAAAAAACCAAAGGAAAAAAAAAAAAAAGAACCAGCAGCTGTAGGAAATGTACCTCCAGTTGGCCCCAGCATAACACCTAGGAGGGTGAATGTCCCATTCAGGTCACTGGAATCTCCCCCTGCCCCAACACCCCAACACACACACACACACACACACACACACACACACACACACACACACACACACACCACCAACCTCAGGACAAGGCAAGAACAGAGATCTAAAGGGTGGGAAAATAGCCACAAACTAGACCTATGCTGGCCCTCAGCCAGGTCCTCAGTCTACAGAAAAACAGGGAAACGGCCTCACCAGCCACTTTCAGCTGCTTGAAGTACAAAGAAAGCGGACAGAGGCCGGGAACCGAGGTGGAAAGAGACCAGGGAAAGGCGGACAGACAATTCCCACTGAACCGGAGGTCTGCTCTCTTCTACCTGGGAGAGGGCATGGTAGGCCCACCCAGACAAGTATGCTGAGAACTCCTGGCACACTGGGTCTTCAGATGGGAAGGGTTAGGACCAAGTTCCTATGCCCTGACAACTTTGAAAGCCAGCTTGGCATGGGTGAGATGGGCCTGAGTAGGAAAACTGGCCAGGTGGGGGCAGGAGAAAGTACCCAAAAAGTAGGATTTGATGCAGCTGGCTTCATCCAGATTAGGACTGGGAAGGGATGAGAGACCCTTCCTTCTTCCAGTTCTTCAGAAGGAAACTGTGCTTCATAGGGCAGAAAAGGGGGTATACTTAATGTTCAGGCACGGAAGGGCACTCTTGGGGGGGGGGTGTGGCTGCCAGAATTGGAGCCCTATCTCCAGTGAAGAAGCGTCTTCATCCAGGGAGTCTAGGAGTGAGGGGCAGTGTTGATGAGCAGTAGAAAAGGTGGGAGGACACCTGTTCACAGATCTCTGCGAGGTCAGCTGAAAGGGATCTGGAATATGTCAAGGAGAGCACCCTGGGGGGAACCAGAAGACGTAGACAAGAGATCTAAAGAGGAGAGAAGAAATTCAGAGGGAGAAGTAAAGGGTAACGCAGAACACGGAAAATGAGATTCGAAGCAAGAAAAGACAAGGAGCATCGAGACAGGAGCAGGGTTTCGCAGGCCTGGAAGGTGGATGTTTGGATAGGAAAGGGTTCCCGGCCACCGGCCCCCGGCCTCCAGGCGACGCGGCGCCGGGTCGGGCCGGCGGCCCTACCTGGTACACGGAAGCCTTGGGCAGGTCCAGGCACACGGTGCAGCACAGCACCGAGTACAGCCGCTCCT